ACACACAGTGGGAATCAAACCCAGGGCTTTGTGTATGATGGCTACGATGTCTTCTTTTGAGCCCAAGCCCCATTTTTCTAAGTCTGTTTACTCGTGTATACATTGTCCCAGTGACCTTTTTGCCAAAGAATATGCATAGTAGATGCTTGTTTTACATAAAATTCAAAATATCAAATCCTTGTCACAAGAAGAATATAGTTTGCATCTCAAACCTAAGACTCTTCAGGCCAGACTTAGTGAAGCCTAACACTGAAAAGAAAAGTTGCTGCTGGCATTCTGGGTCTTTCCAGCATCCAGATGGCCTGTCTGTAGCCTCGCCAGAACCAAACCCTTCCTGCTGCCTGTTCAGCTGGTCTTGGATGACAGCCCCAGACTACACCAGCTTCCATACCTATTAACTCTTGATTGCCCAAGATTTTTAAGAAGAGGTAGGACTTCTAATGTGACTTTGATTGAAAAGGTAAATCAAGTTTTAATTTAGCAGCTGAGTTTATATAATATTGATCCCTGTGACTTCCCTGCACCGTGACAGGCTTCCTCTCACAGCAGCTCAGCCAACTATTGGCAGGAGAGCAGCAGCATTTTGGAAGGGAGTGTGTGTGGGCAGCTTGCAGGTGAGGACAGGACTGCCAAGGCAGACCATGCGGTTTGTCCGGTGCCTACACCCAGTACCTGACTTGGGCCTTTCCAGAGCATTTGTATACACAGGGCTGTTCTGCTGTTTGGGGTGTGGTTAGTCTCAAAAAGCATTAAAAAAAAAAAACTCATTGGCAAGACTTTCATGCAGCAAACAAGAATGCGTAATGGCAGATATAAAATGACCGTACATGGATTTAAGGGGGGACTTCTCTAAAGCAGTTGAGCCAGGAAAACAAACCTGCCCTGTGTTTTTAAAGCACCCTTGGAAACCTTACTAGAGGCAGCCATTGTTTTCGTTTGAATTTCACCAGGAGGTAATACACAGCAGCAAATTTGCCATGAAGGTAGAGATTCTCTGTGGCTTTGCTCTTCTTCATCTAGAGGTGTTAGTAGTTCTCCTGCCAGGGTGCTTCTCAACTGACCGGAAAAGGTATTTCCAGTTGAAGCTGTCACGTTCCTCCTTATACCTCTGAGGTCACTGTTATTTAAATTTTATCATTATTACTATTATTGTTGTTGTTACTGTTGTCAAGAGAGTCCGTTTGGCACAGTTGATTAGAGACCTGAGATAGCCAGGTCAATACAAAGTTTGGGGCTGAAGATGTAGCTCAGAGCCTCGGGTTCCATCCCCAGCATACAGAAGGTGGTGTGGTGGCACACTGGAATCCCTGCACTTGACGGGTGGAAGAGAGAGGGTCAAAAATTGAAGGTCACCCTCAGCTACATATCAACTTCAAGGCCAGCCTGGAATACACAAGGCCCTCTCTCAAACAATAAACAAATAAACAGCCTGATGGTGGTGGTGCACACCTTTAATCCCAGCACTTGGGAGGCAGAGGCAGGTGGTTCTCTGTGAGTTTGAGGCCAGTCTGGTCTACAGAGTGAGTTCCAAGACAGCCAGGGTTATACAGAGAAACCCTATCTCGAAAAACAAACAAGCAACAAGAAGAAAGAAAAGAAACAAGATTCTGGTTTATAGATCAGAGTATGTGAACAAAGGTGGAAAATTTTCAAAGTGTTAGGTATTATAGAGCTCTGAGAGGAGGGGGATCAGAAAAAAGGAAGAAAGATTAAATAAATAAACAAACAAACATATAAATTAGAGCTGTGATAACAGAGCTTAAAAACAGTACTTATGGGAGGTAGAATTAAAAAAATAAAATGGCAAAAGGTTCATACTATCTGCTCCGACTGACTGAAAAGGGCAAGGAAGCTACTTTTGCAGTTGGCATCCATCACTGCAGCCTCACAGTTGAGAAAGAGGGACATAGAAGGTGACATCCCCCCCCCCAAAGTAACAGCCTAGACTGGAAATCATCAGAGAGAACTCTTAAACATTGTGATAAGGGGCTGGGCAGTGGTGACGCACGCCTTTAATCCCAGCACTCGGGAGGCAGAGCCAGACGGATCTCTGTGAGTTCGAGGCCAGCCTGGTCTACAGAGCGAGATCCAGGACAGACACCAAAACTACACAGAGAAACCCTGTCTTGAAACCCCCACCCCCCCAAAAAAAAACCCAAAAAATTGTGATAATGATGCTGAAGTGTAGCTCTCCACAGGTGATGGCTTCTCGTGGGAGGGCAGGTGGGGAAGGACTCAGTTTTCTTTAAGGACTGGCCACTGTGTTTGACCATGCTCCGGTGAGTATATAGGCAACACAAATTGGACTGTTTGTTTGTTTCTTTCTTTCTTTCCTCCTCCTTCTTCTTCTTTGGGGGAGGGAGGTCATAAGGTGGGAGTGGATCTGGGAAGACTAGGAAGTGAGTGTGAAATTCCCAAATAATAAAAATATTACAGAATTGTATTCAAATATGGTCAAGACAAAAAGGAAGTATATAAAAGACTAAGAATAGCTCCTCTCTGCCGATTTGATGCATGCAGCCTGTAGTGATGGGCACCTACTCTAACCCAAACATCTCAGCAGTCAACACAGAAGCTCACTCTGGCATAGGCTTCTTTTGTGGCTTCCCAACTCACACTGTTGCCTTGACCCTCTCACCCTCTCAGCTCTCAGCAGATTTTCACTCCCTTGTTTTCAGCCTCCCTACAGATTTCTCTGTACAAAATGCATCAAGTTGCCTCCTGTACCCCAACCTTGTCTGCTTGACAGCGTACAGAGAGAGTGAAAGCTGGGACTGTGCATTCAGCCACGATGTCTCAGGCCAGGCTGGGTAACGCTCCTCCCAGCTGGACCTAGTCCTCAGGCTCTTTCCTCTGAAAGACACAGTGCACTAGAGAGGCCCTTAGGAAAGATTATGTCCCCAGGAGAGGTGCACTATCACCACCTTGATGTCACAGTTCAGTGCACAGCTCCAGAAAAGAAGCCAGCCGCGACCACCCACATGCAGAAGCAAAAAGCACACCATTTCTGCATGCAAATGTCTGTTTTTCAGTCCTACGCTTGCCTTCTGTCTAAACACTGATATTATTTGGCTTGCAACTGGGTTTTCATAGGACAATAAAATATTACCACCATAGAGGAAATGTGAGAAGAATTATTACGAAAGCAAAAAGGGAACTCAGTGGGGTTTAGACGTCAGCCTTTCCTCTTAGAACGTCTGAAGATAAGCTCAGTCAAAGAGGAAGATTGGTAAAAAAGGAAGAAGAAGAAAAAGGTAAGTTGTTTAATGTTGGTTTACTATACTTTTTAAAGAGTTTTTTTTTTAAAGTACACTTCAGTTTTGTGAAAAGAATTTACTTTTCTTTCATGGGAGAAGCCCAAAACTTAGGAGACCATTCCCAGGGTCTAGTGTCAAAGAAAACAGTTGTTGGCATGAAAGATACAAGTTGATACATAACAACAGTTTCCTCCCTTAAATAAAATGCTGTATTTTTCTCCATCTCCAGGAAGGAATTTTTTTTTTTAAAGAGCATCCTTGCATAAAACCCTTTGACCAAATTTCACAATGCTCGACTTATGCTAATAAGTCTTTATTTAGTTTCAGTCTTTCCAAACAAGCCTGTGAGTTTCTGACGCAGCACACAGCACGTACTCATCTGGTTCTCACTGTCCCCTGTCCCTTGACCCGCTATGAAAACCTGGTTCAATCCGTTCACTTACAAAGGTGAAACCAGACCCTATGTCCAGCGAGCACGTTTAGTTTGGGTGCAGGGGTTCACAGAGCTGTGTGGAGCTCCTCTCTGACCCAGGAAGGAGGTCGAGACTGGCCGCCATCCAGGCCAGCTGCCTCAAGAGCAGTGCAGTTTCCTTGTGGCTCTCACTGACAGACAGCCCCTCCCCAGCTGGCTAGTAACTCCTCAGCAGGGCTTATATGCTCTGACCCGCTCCCTCACTGCCCACACTCCTCTTCCCAACATGGTTGGTGCCTCCTGGAGAAGGAACAGCCCGAAAAGTGCTTGGAAGAAAAGGGGGAGTCCTGACTGAGGAGCCCTTCGGATTTTCTCCTTTCCTTGAGGAGGGGGCGGGGCTGTTAATTTAAAAGGATGCCAACATGTTCCGGGGAGAGTTTGCAGAGAATTTAGCATGATCTGTGCGTCAGGGTGGCTGGTTCCCATATGCCAGGAGAACATGCTACCCACCTTCTGCAAATATATCATAGGAGTTTTTGTCTGCTGTGAGTGTATAGCTGGGGACTGAACCCCCTGCTCAACCACTGGGCTACACTCCAGTGGCCCACAAAATATTTTAATTTATTTTTGTAGGTAAGACTTTGCCCCATTACCCAGGCTGAACTTGAACTCTGATCATCCTGGGATTACAGGCTTATGGCTCCTCACTTCATATTTAGTGGTGGTGGTGGTGGGAAGGACATAGTTTGCCTTCTACTTATAATTATCATCAATATTTCTACCATGTGGAAATAGATTGCAGGAAGAGTTAAAATGCATTAAATTGCTTTGGAACTTGAAGCTAAAATTTTTGAAAATGCAAGATTTATCTCGAATTTAGTTGATTTTAAAAGAGACTCAGTCGACCCTTATTTAAAGTCCTCTATGACATATCCCCGCACCCCTAGAGAGAGGGTCTTGCTATGTTTGTAGACCGGGCTGACCTTGAACTCATAATTCTCTTTCCTTAGCCTCCTGAGTGCTGGGACTACATAGCTGTGCCACCATGCCCCGTGACATTTACTCTAAAGAGGAAAATGACACAGAGTAGTAAAATTGTAGAAGTGCCTTTACGAGGATAAGGGTAGAGCCCTGGCTGTATTTTTCTCCTCTTTGTTCCTTCTGATGACTTCAGCCACAATGACTCAGTTGCATGCTTTCTTCTATTGCTGACATTATCCTAACCATCTCCTCTCTCGTTTGGGGGTTTCTGTAACCCAGTCATCTAGCCCCCTTTATTTATTTTCCAGAAGCTAACATTCAGCCCCACCTAAAAACAAAACAAAACACACTTTCCAGTTTGCTGGCAACTGTTGGAGGTAATTGACTGCTTTTCGAGAGAGATCATTTCCTTCCCTTATTGGGTCACCTTTACCCCTGGCAAACTTCTCAGAGCTCTGGCCGAGTCTTCCTGTGAGTGCCAGACAATGGCTTCCTTTGGAAAAAAAAAAAAAAAAAAAAAAAAAAGAAGTAGTCAGTTTTACAGACTTGAGGTATTTATTGAAGCAGCACTGGTCTCCAGTCAGTGTCTGCACAGAAATACCACCACAGAAACGGGAGGGGCTCCAGGCCTACTCTTTCCCAATATTGTACAAAGAGGAAAGTAAGGCCCAGAGAGATTAGGGGTGTTTAAGTCTAGAGCAAGAGTTCTCCTTTTCTGTGCCGTAGATCATCTTGTCTGGCCAGGAAACCCTCATGGGTTCCTTCGGAACACTATTTTTAAGAGCATAAAATGAAACACTTGAGGCTGGACCCCTTTCTTGAACTATATACAAAAGTTAACTCTAAACACATTATGCACCTAAATGCCAGAGTCGAGACTAAGTCATTCTTAGGAGCAACAGGAATGAATCTTACATTGTGGATTACACAGTGCCTTTACTTTATTGAAATACAATTCATATATCAAAAATGCATCCAAGCTGTGCGGTAGTGGGGCCCGCCTTCAATTCCAGCACTTGGGAGGTAGAGCCAGGCAGATCTCTGTGAGTTCAAGGCCAGCCTGGTCTACAGAGTGAGATCCAGGATAGGCACCGAAACTGAAAAACCAAAAAAAAAAAAAAAAAAAAAAAAAACGAAAGAAAGAAAAGAAAAAAATGCATCCAGTTGAAACACCTAGAATTTGGTTGTTTTTTAAATATATTTACAAAGCTGTGCAACCAGCTCTAGGATCAATTAAAAAATAATATAAGGAATTTATTGGCTCGTCTACCTTTTGTTTTTGTTTTTGTTTTTTTTTTTTCGAGACAGGGTTTCTCTGTGTAGCTTTGCGCCTTTCCTGGAACTCGCTTTGGAGACCAGGCTGGCCTCGAACTCACAGACATCCGCCTGGCTCTGCCTCCCGAGTGCTGGGATTAAAGGCGTGCACCACCACCGCCCGGCTCGTCTACCTTTTTTTATTATGCCATTTTGTTTTTTTTCTTGAAACAGCTTCGTTGAAACTCATTCATAAACTATCCAAGCCATCCATTTATAATATATTATTTGATAGATTTTGGTATATTGCCAGAGTTGTATAACCATTATGTAGACAATAATTTTAAGATATTACATCAAAAGTTCTGTCAGTAAAAGAAAAAACTATCTCAAACTTGAAAACATCTATATTTATTTATTATTGTGTTGGAGCCTAGGTGTCGGGGGACATATGTGTGACCATTCAGAGGCTAGAGAAGGCCAGAGGAGCACAGTGAGTGTTCTGCTCTGTCACTCTCTGCCTTATTCCCTTGACAGGGTCTAACTTTGAACCTGGAGCTAGGCTGGTGACCAGCACGCCCCAGCATCCTCTATCCACCACAGTTCAGAGGTTACATCTAACTTTTTTGAATGTGTGTCAGGGATTTGAACTCAGGCACACTTTTTTTTAAATTTCTTTTCTTTTTATTAAGAAATTTTCTATTCATTTTACATACCAAGCACAGATCCCCTCCCCTCCCTCCTCCCACCCGCAAACGTTCTCTCCCATTCCCACCTCCTCCAAGGCAAGGCCTCCCATGGTGAGTCAGCAGAGCCTGATAGACTCAGCTGAGGCAGGTCCAAGCCCCTCCCCCTGGACCAAGGCTGTGTAAAGTCTCCCACCATAGGCAGTGGGCTCCAAAAGCCCGCTCATGCACCAAGGATGGATCGTGATTCCACCGCCAGGGGGCCCCTTAAGCAGATCAAGCTATGTAACTGTCTTGCCTATGCAGAGGGCTAGTCCAGTCCCATGGAGGCTCCACAGCTATTGGTCCACAGTTCATGAGTTCCCACTAGTTTGGTTTGGTTGTCTCTATACGTTTTCCCATTTCGATCTTGATGCCCCTTGCTCATAGAATACCTCTTCTCTCGCTTCGACTGGACTCCTGGAGCTGGGCTAAACTCAGGTACTCTTAAGCAAGTGCTCTTACCCACTGAGCCATCTCCTCAGCCCACAAATTCAATGTTTTTTTGTTTTTTTTTTTTTTTGAGATAGGATATCACTATATAGTTGTCGTTGGCCTAGAACTTACTACTATGACACTACCCACAATGGACTGGGCACTCTCTCAACAATCACTAATTAAGAAAATTCCATCAGGCTTGTCTGCATACAGCCCAAGTCATTTGCTCACTTGAGGCTCCTTCTCAGATGCCTATTGGTTGTGCCAGTTGACAAAAAACTAGCTAGAACACTATGTAAACCAGGCTGGCCCTGAACTCACAGAAATATGCCTTCCTCTGCCTCCCAAGTGCTAGGATTAAAGGTGTGTCCCACCATACCTGGCCCCAAACTAGAACTTTTTTGTTATAAATGATAACATCAAGAAAGTGAACAGGCAGTCCACAGAATGCAAGAAAACATTTGCAAATGATGCATCTAATAAGGGCTTTGTATCTAAAACATATAAAGAACATTTGTAGCTCAACAATAAAAAGATAATACAATTAAAGAATAGACAAAAGATTTGAGTAGATAGTTCTCCAAAGAAGATAGACACATGCCCTTTAAGAACATGGAAAAATTGTTAGGCATCATTAACCATTAAGGAAATGCAAACAAGTCACACAATGAGTTACTGGACTTATGCCTACTAAGATGGCTATAATGAAAAAGACACAGAATTGCTAAGGTTGGAGAGGACATTGAGAAATTGGAACCTTTAAATCCACTGCTGGTGACAGAAGAGGGTGCAGCCACTTTGGAGTACAATCCAGCAGTTCCTCAAAGGTTGAAACACAGAGTTATTATGCGACCCTAAAATTCTACTCCTAAGTATAATCCCTAGGCAAATTAACAAGCACAGCCAACAACTTCTATACCAATTTTCTTTCTTTTCTTTAACTTTTTTTTTATTAATTCTTCGGGAATTTCACATTATGCACCCCAGTCCCACCCATTTCCCAGTTCCTCTGTATCCACACTTCACCCTTGTAGTGTTCCCCCAAAGGCAAACTTAAAAAGAAACAATAAAAATAAAAAATACAAATAAGAATAATAATTAAAAACAAACAAAAAAACCTGCTTTTCCCAATTTTCTACCACCTCTTCATTCGTCTTAGTGGCATCGGGAGCTTTGGTGTTACTGTGAAGTATACTCTTTTGTCCAAACAGCTTTACGTGCAAATGTTCATTATGTAATGTATTGATGGTCAGGTTCAAGGCCTCTGGCTTCTGGTATACCATCAATGCTGGACCCTCAGCGATCGGATATCTTGCGGTTGCCCCAGTCGTGAAGATGCTGTGGCTCTGGTTCCACAGGGCATAGATGGGGTAGATGTTGGAGTGTGCCAACTCAAAGGCCTAGATGTGTGTCAGGGTGGTAGCTGAGTTGGTCAGTCTGGGGTGCTAGGACCAGCCTCCTCAGGTGAGGGGTGGAGCCAGCTCTCCCATACCTCTGGTGAGGGGTGGGGCCGGTTTTCCCAAGTGAGGGGGCAGCACTCCCTAGGCCAGTGAGGGGCAGGGCCAGCTCAGCACCGCCCACGTCCTTATTCGCATCCAATATGTTATTTAACACATGGCTCGCATGGGTTGCTGTGGTTACACAGGCAATGGACCTCTACATAGACCCCAGCTGCATCAGGACCACTGACCCAGACATGACCATCAGCAGCAGCTTGGGCCTGGTTGTCACTATGGCCCCGGGGGAGGGGGGACAGCGCAGGCTTCTCAGGTTGGGAAGGGCCCAGCAGTAGCGTGGTCCCGGGACTCCAATATGGCCCCAAGTGGCAGCTTAGATCCTGGGCAGTTGCACGGCCTTCCATAGTAACAGGAGCCATGGACATCAACACAGATCCTGGCTGCAGTAATGCCACAGACCCAGACATGGCCCCTGGCCACAGCTCAGGCACTGATGTCCCTATGGCCCCCGGTGGCAGCACAGGCCACCCTGATCTGTATGGTCCTGGTGGCAGCCTGACCCTCTGGTGCCAACATGGTTTCAGGTGTCAGCCCAGATCCTGGGCATCTGTTACCAGCCTTCATTGGAAACAGGAAACATGGACACTGATGCAGATCCTGGCTGTGATAGGACCACGGACCCAGACATGGCCCTGGACCAGCTTGGCCTGGATGACACCCTGTCCCCAGGTGGCAATGCAGGCCATCCAGATCAGGATTGCTCCAGCAACAGCATGTCCCTCTTTGGAGGCTTAAATTATTCAGGGTTAGAGAATCTGAGCTTGCTTTACCCAGCAGGGCTGCATAAGGGGATGATTTGACCATGGGCATGGTTACCAGGTGTTTAGAAGGGTCTACACTTGGCTGTGCAATATGCTTTGATCTAGCAAGGGGGAGGTTTTTTGCCCCGCCCCTTGGCATTATTATAAAAAGCCCTTTTGAAGGGGCAGAAAGGGTCATTGGGTTTTGATCCAGGTCCTCCCGAAGCTATCCTGAGTTTCTGTCTTTCTTCCTGTCAACTAGGTCTCTCATTCTACCTAATATTTTCTTATCCCTCTCTCCTCCTTATAGGAACCCTGGAAAAGATGAGAGCTGGCCTCCCACATCCCTCAGACCCCAACATAGCCACAGGTAGTAACCCAGAACCCAGGCATCCTTGTGACTTTTGGTGGCAACATGGGCCATGAACATCAACACAGAAACCGACTACAGTAGGATCATGGACTCAGACGTGGTCCTTGGCTGTGACTCAGGCCAAGATGACACCATGGCCCCAGGTGGCATCGCAGGGCACTCAAACGGATTGTATGGCCCTGAAGGCAGCATGACCCTTGGATATCATCATGGTCCTCAGTATTGACTCAGACACCTGGCATCTGCACAGCCTCTGTACACCAATATTCTTAACAGCATTATTCATGGGGAGCCAGGACAGAGGCAGGAGTTAAGTAGGCACTTGCTGGCATTGTTAGTCTTTATTCTAAGCACTCTTGGTGTGGGTATGGTGTGCACGTTTCTGTATGTATGTGTGCAGGTACATATGTGCATAATATACATGTAGAGGCCAGAGGTTGAGGTTG